TAGATATAGATATAGATATAGATATGTGTGTATATACATACACGCACTCTTGGAAGAGGGAAACCAAGACATGAAAGGAAGAGCGACTTCCTCATGGTAAAAGTAGCAACTAGAAATGCAATGATACCAACTTCCAGAACTTAATTCCATCATTGTTGTATTTCTGGTTATCAAGGTGCTATAGTTTCATAGGGAATTAATCCAGAATTCAGCTCTCAGTTACTATTAATGCAGTTCATACACATAAAAATTATTTTAGAGTGGCTTTTATATAGGATTCTGAATAATCTCTGTGCTAAAAGTGATGGCTACTTGGTTAATCATCTAAAGTTGCAGACTGTACCTTATTTCTCACTATGGTCTTTGCCACTTAGGCATCTGTACATGGACAGAAAATGAAGGAGACACTAGCAAGATTAATTACACTTCTATTCTTCTTGAAAAATGGGAGCATTTTCTAGTTTATACTAAGAAATACCAGAACACAAATCAGAACCTTTTACAAAAATCTTCACTAAATCTCAAGAACTCCTCTTGAAAGACACCACTTGCTGCCATTTTTGATGATTGTAGTCAATTAAATGAAGCAGGAGCAAGAATCTGATACCAAAGCACTCACATCCGTAGGGGGACCCTGTTGGGGAGCCGTTGATGAAGCCGGGGGAGCCGGGGACGCCCAGGTTGGACATGGGGACGTTGCTGTACCCGTTCATGCTGTTGCTGGAAGTGCTGTAGTTGGACTGCTGAGGTGTGGAGCTGGACGAGTATCCCCGGGGCGAGATGCTGCTTGTGTTGCGGATGTAACCTAAAATAAAGCATTTAAAGCGTGTTGATGCATTTGGCTTCAAACTTTCTCCTGTCTAGTTACTGCTTAAATGAATTACTTATTGAAATCCAGAGTAATTAAAACATTCAAGCAAGTACCATTAAATTCAGTGGGTTTTATGCATGTGCTTTCAAGTTGAGCAATATTAAGTTTTAAAACAATGTGGGTAAATAACTTTTTGAAGTGAACTGGCGTATAGTTTTCTAATCAATCAGATTTGATGCATTAAAAGTAGAAATTTGTTCTAAGACATGGAAAAAAAGGTGTGTGCTCCTCTTTTCCTGTGGTAAATTTGTAATATATGTCGGATTTTCTACAATTTTATACTTACTGATGAATTACAAATAAAGCAAGTACATTGCTAAGGAGAAATTGTAACTCATCTATGGTTTGCAGCTTGACTACTTCAGAATAAACTGGATAATTAAAATCTATTTCTTAAAAAAACAAAAACAAACAAATACATATTTGAGAACCAAAATGTAGCCACAGAGACTCAAAGAACACTGTGGCTATCAGAGTTATTGTCCAAGGGCATGATTACAGCTGCAATACCATCAGAAAGATGAGAGTCAGTGGCTACTTTAAAAGTGATTACCATTTCAATACCAAGTCAGGGTATTTCTGCCCACTTATTTCATGAAGTTCTAATTCAGGGCTGGTAAGACCTTATTAAAAAAATATAGCAAAATTATCTACATGATGACTTCTGACACGGCATATGTAATGTTAACTACACATGGCATCGTTGTACTGCCTTAGAGTATTAAACACAGCTACCCACGCACTCAGCCACAGGCTGTAAGGTACTGGAATTGAGTGCCAAAAATCAAAATATTCAAGAGTCAGAAAATGCCCAGAGTTGATATTGTTCCTATTATGTATTAAGTTAATATGTCGTTTTATGGCATGTTTTCCTAACAATCAATAATATACTCGGAGTAAATGTAATATACACAATATGTGCAAGTTGGCAAAATTAACACTGGAGAAGAAGCCTTAAAAAATAATCTGGTGTCTGGAACCCAGTGCAGATGCAGCAGCATCATCCAAAACGGCATCACACCCCCATTTCTAATGCTGACAAGTTAACACCATCTTCCTGTGCATAAGCTGAGCAGGTAGAGAAGTTGAGAAGCTGCTGTGGAAGCAACGTGAGTCAATGTTTCGTTGTGTAAACTGGTGCCTACCTTGGTTGTTCCCCTGCGCCGACTCGGAGATGCTGACCCCCAGCTGGCTGCCGTAGGAGTTGATCCCCATCATGCTGCTGTGCGCGGGGGAGCTGGACAGCGCGGGGATCTGCGCGGGGTTCCTGGGCACGCTGTACAGCGCCTCCGCGATGTCTGCGGCCCGTTTCAGGATGATGTCCTGCACAACGCAAGGGACAAGGTCAGACGCGTGCCTGGAGGAATTTTTCCAGTGTTTAGCACTAACCCTGAGCGCGTCTCGGTGCCCTGCCGAGCGCAGCCGTTCTGACCTGGTTGTTGTGTGGCGTGCCGTACAGTGCTTCGACCAGGTCAGCAGCGCGTTTCAACAGCATTTCCTGGAGGATAAACACAGGCATAACATTGGCATATTTTTTTTAACAGAAAAGGATTTTAGCACAAATCAAACTGGTATTTTTCTGATGTGACTGGTGTTCGTGTGTGGTCACTGTGGGTCCCTTAAAGAGCTGTTATTTGTCACTTATCTGATAATCCGAACCCCTTACAGTATCTCCAGCTGGACGTCCAGAACCCTCAGTCACTCTGGGGAGCGTTGACGTGGACACAAACATCAGCCAGCGCCGAGCGTTGCGCGCCCAGAGCCCCATCCCCGTCCTGGAGCTCTCCACAGTCCTGAAGCTGCTCCCGGCCACCAGCTCCAAGAGTGGAGCCAAGTTTCAGACGTACCCCATTTAAATAGAAATTCCGATCCCTACTGAATTTCAATGCATTCTTTTGCACAGACACATAAAAGTCTGATTAATCTCCACATCCACTTAATTTTTTTCTCAGTAGTGGTAACCAAACAAATAAACCACCTTAGGTAGTCAGTATCTTATATTACCTCTGGATGTAGGGAGAAGTTACACAGTATACTCTCTGAATCCAATAGTTTTTCATCTTGCAAAGACAATAATAGATATTTTCAGTACTACATTAAAATCTAGGAGTACAGACATTAATGCCATTGTGCCAGGTGCCAAATCAACACATCATGCACTATTACAGCTACATAAAATCCCCAGTTGGTTCAACACATCCACTCTGCAGTTGTTGCTACCAAAAAGCTGAGCTTTAAGTGTTTTTTACTGAAAGCTTCCCTTAAGATTCGACCTCTGCGACAAATCTTTTGCCTATCACATATCATTTAGCTTCAGAGATTTGCCTATATGGATAAATGCAAAGGATATGAACTGGGAAGATACCTGCACCAGACTCATTTCAGCAAAAGACAGTGAGTGCTACCAGATAAAAAAAGCACTGGTAGCTGTGGGTTCTGCATGATCAAACTCTTGTTTGGAACTAATTGGTGAAGTTACGGTCAGATGCAATTGTCATTTGAGATACAATTTTCTCTCTTTTGTGACTTAGAAGTAAAAAAAAAAAACCCACATTTAGTGGGCTCAGAGAAATGTTTAAAAGTGTTTTACCTTAGCTAATCTTTCAGGGTCACCAGGATGTCTTGGGATGACCTTTTGCAGTCTTTGGAAGCCATAATCTATGGTAGGTTCATTTAAAGCTGAAAGGAAAACAGAAAAAAACCAACATTATATGAGTATATATCTTTGTATGACTCTCAGAGATGGATTTCACAGCTCCTCCATGGAAAACCTCCTCTTGCCTGTGTGCCTGGGGGGTGTGCACTGCCTGCTGCTCAGGTGAGCCCCATTGCCGTGTGTAAGACAGGCTGAGTTACTATAGGCTTTATAAAAACTTCTGCACGAGGATCCCTCATCTCTTTTCAGAGGTAACGCTTGTTCTACTGCTAAGCAAGCTGGGGCACACAAGCCAGGCTGTGTTATACCCTAAAACCTGGTACCCAAGCTCTGCCCATTGAATTGTATGGATGTTTCTGCCATTATCCCTATCATGGACTGCTCGGTGCTCCTGGACAAGTCCTGGGTGTGTCTGTGATTTGTTAAATAAATAATTAGTGGTACCTTTCTGCTGACAGTTAAGCCTTGAAAAGAATCTGTGCATCTATATATATACACACACAAAAATATATATTAAAAATATATGTAAATATATATATATCTATATCTATTTACACACACATACACACACACACATATATACACCATGTGTGCACACACACTGGGCAAAACTGCCCATGGCAGCAATATAGCAAGTTATGGTACCAATGCAAACAACAACAGGTCTGCTACACGTCCGTTATGCAGCCAAAAGCCACTACCACCGTGTTTGCTCATCTAATAAACACATTACGCCCCCCCAACGTTTTGCCGTCACAAAGTAGGGCACAGCTCTTCATTAGACACATTCACTTCAGTTGCGTACGGCTGTTATGCAGCCAGAGCCACTTCCCTGTAATGATGTGAATCTCTAGTGGATAAACCAAGATATTTTGACCCAGATCCTCAGTTCGCAATAGCTGGCAGAGCCCTACCGGCATCGCTGATGATTTCATAAAACTTCAGACGCTTTAATATCCTCTACTGTGAAATCATGGCAATAATTATCTAATTTCTGGTAATTCAAAATTAAAGTCCAGATTAATACAGAAACCAAAAGACAGTTTTCCAGCATTCTGCATGCTCAGAGGCTCTGACTGCCTCTAACCCACCAGGGCTCCTTGTGTTTACTAATAGTCACAGGTACGTTTTTACATCATTTCCTTATACTTCAGAGCGTGTGCTGTAATTCAAACAACACATTCATGCAATCAAGTGCTGAGAGCCTTGCTAAGAATTCCCTGACACATTTAATAAGTAACATATGCAAGTCCTTTCGCACTCTCCTCATTCAGTGCTAGCTGCTTCTATCCTCTTACACCATTCGTGTTTCTTTTGAAGAACAATAAGTAAAATTAAATAACTGGTAAGATGAGCACAGCTGCAAACACCTGATTATTACTGAACCCTCCGAAATGTACTCAGCCCCTCGCAGGTTCACCGCAGTCACCGCAAGAATGAAACCATCAAGTGAGACCCCATCGCAGCCTCTGTTTATCTGTGCCTGTCTTCGGTGTAACAACACGAAGGTAAAAGGTCATATTCCCCACTGAGATACATTTTATATTTACTTTTTATTAAATAATTATGGCATAGCATGAAGTTTAAATATTACAGGAGATAATCAAGTGGGAATTGAGCAGAGAAAACCCAGACCTGAGAATTTAGTCCTGGCTATACTTAGAATGTCTTTGCTCTCCACTGGGAGCCATTCTGGTTTGCTTAAGGAGTTTAATAATACACATTTCAACTGCCACAGAATCTACGTCCCATTTGGGAAGAGGGGTTTTTTTTGGGGGGGGGGCGGGTGTGGGATTTTTTGCCAATAATCCTGAGAATTAGAGGTCGATTCTCTCTAGAGCCTATACATCACGATGTGCCATTTCTCTTCTTGATTACAAGTCTCATCAGTTATGTTGTATATCCTCAGCTAAGCAAAAAGCAATGTAAAATATATAGGAATTTAAGCATACATGTGTACATAGCTCACTAAAAATAACCAATGGGAATATACCAAATGCTAATTCAGGAAGAAGAAACTGGCTATTATTCAACAAACATTTTTCCAATGGATTGACATGGGTATTTTCATTCCGATAGATAAACAGCAGCAAATAATTTCTCAACAACGTCGAATTGTTCTAAGAACTGAGCCACTTTGAATCAATGTGTTTATTACGTCTTTCAGCACAAAAGCTTTTCTGTACGGCTTGCGACAAAATTGCTACTGCTCGTTTGACTCATTATTGAAACAAAAATATCTGTCATTAAATCCTGTTAAAACCAACACCCAACTTTTGTAGAAGTAACTGGCACCTCTTCAACTGAAGGGAAAGATCCCCTTCAATTTCCCAGGGCACAGTTCCAATAAATTGTGCATGAAACGATATAATCTATGCAAAAAGAGAGCAACCACCCAGTAAATACACTAAATTGGTGGTTAGTCTATGAACTTCAGTCTAGCCTGTTTTAACAGCAGAACTGGTGCAGTCAGCAGCAGGGAAAGGTCTCAGTGCCCGCAGCTTGGCCTTGTCCATGACAAGGCTCATATTGAGTATGGCGCAGCGCTTCCTCTATTATGTTGTTCCTTACCCTCCAAAATCCACGCTTTCCGGTTAAACACAAATCTCCAGCTACTGAGATTCACTGTAACAGGAGCAAAAAAGATGCTCACACTCGAGCAACCGATGCCACGACATCTGTCTGCATTTGCCAAACCTGAAACAACAGCTCAGGCCCATTCATGTCAACGGGGATAACTCAGATACCCAGTGATAACACTGCTGACATTTAAAGTATTAATTATTTCACCACACATCAAAGCACATAAGACCGTTGAAGGAAGATGATGTTATGAAGATCTGCACAATTTACCCTGAGTGACAGCTCGTTCTGATACTGCCAGCTACGCCTTGGGAGATGCGCTGCTCTCCCTCTGCGCCAATCCGAATTGGTTCAAGGGCCACAGCAAAGCCCTGCAGCTCCTCTCTGCTTTACTCCACGACGCAGACCAGAGGGCAGCGAGTCCTCTGTTTGCACACCATGAATGAGGAGAAACAAAGCATGCATAGCTCTAGAAATATCCAGCACCCAGAAATCTGAGCCAGTGCAGTACTTGGAGTGTGCTTCTAACCTCCTTAAGGGTGTTAACATAGAGAAAAAGGCATCAGGGGCCTTACGGGCTTGAATTCCAACTTTGGGCTGGTGACTACCTTCACTCAAGCCAACAGTAGAGATGCTTGGTGTTCACCCTACAGAATAAACGTTCCCATGTTGCTGGCTCCAGAAGCTATAACGATGCTGATCCTGGCTTTGGGGGGTGCATACGCACCCATCAGCACACCCAAGGTGTGCGTTGTGGCTTGGGAGGTGCGTACACACTGGTCACCCACCCAAGGGGTGTGTTGTGGCCTGAAGCTGGAAGCACACACCAGAAGCGTACGGCAGCGGTGCTGTGCTGTATCTGCTGTGCTGTATCTGCTGCTCCAGACACCCCTCTCCCATCGCAGGTGTCCGTCGCAAGCTACAGCAGAGGTAGGAGCTCTGCAAACGTTTTCTGTCACATCCGCTGTGTTCTGGCCAAGTGAACTCGCTCTTCCAATTTGTAGAGCTCACTGCATCCCTGTAAGTGTTGTTCCCCACAAGCAGTAACAAGACCTTCTCAAATCTACTTACAAGCTTCAGCAAACCCGTACCTCCCATCACCGGTACCTGGCACACAGACTGCTACAGTACAACCCAACATATCCTACAGATTATTTTATATTGCATTGCTCTGACAAGTTAACCCCCAGAGGATTTCTGCTCAGCAAGGAAAATTACCTTCAAAATCTCCCTGATACACACATTTCCAGGTTAGCATCTCTATGACAAAGTAAATGCAGAGCTGTGATCAAACTTAAGATATGAAAGCCTACGAGACACATCCTCAGCTGGCGTAAATGGATGTAAGCGTTATTAAAGGCAAGGGGACCATAATGGAGCTACTTACAGCGGCAGAGGCTTTGAATTTGTGCAGCATTAAAAGCAGAATATGAGGCTACTGCCAGATTAGCAGCAGCGAGCAGACGTCTGATTATTCCAGGAACAGCAAAGTAACTCTGAACATGGAGGTGTCTGTGTAACCTGTGCTCTCACCAGTTTAACATACACACGGGGACTAAATGTTTAGTTGTAATTTAAAAATAGACTTTTTATCTCTCACTTTAAGTGTACTTAACTACTAAAGTATCTAAATCAGTTCAGCAATTGCCATCAACATAAACCAAGCCGTTTTTCTGGATTTTTCTGTACTCTGCGGTACCCCCATAGATGTCCATAGAATCCTTGGCTTCACTTCTATAAAAGTTCTCCATCTGGGAACCTTGTGGAAAAGTCTGCCCATCACATTTGGGCGATGAGAGGAATGTGATGGCTGAGCTGCAGCACCCTGAATGATCGCACTTAAGAGTGGAAACGCTGACAGACCCGTAACTGCAGCACTGCCAGCACAGCACACTTTGCAGGAGCCCATTAGAAACACACTTCACAGGATGCTATGAGCTCCCTAACAGCTCCACTGTGGCATTCAGATTTACCCTTGAAATTTATATCTAATTTTTATATTCGTCTTTTTAATAGTTTATCGTGTTCTTCTTCAAACAACCCATTTTATTGTGACTTTAAAAAAAAAAAAGCTGAAGTATAATCAGGTCAAACATTAATATTTGATTGTATAATAAATACTGAGGGCATTGGCTGACACACACAACACTAACCAGGATGATTGGTTTTCTGTTTCCATGTTTTACAAGAGCACTGGTGCTCTGCTGATTAAAGGATATGACCAGAACCCAAGAGACTTATTTCACTATCCTCAATTTTCCCATATAACCACAGCCCAGTGGCTCATCTTTCTTCGTCCTCTCGTGGCAATGTCCCATGTACAGACTGAAGCTCGTGTCTTTCTGTCTCTGGTTGTCCATCTTTGATGCTGTGAGGCCTTGATGAACCCTCTGAGCTCTGGTTTTATATGAATAATTATTCTTGTTATACCTGGGAAGTCCCTATAGCCTCAGTATTTTCCATATGACTTGACCCTTCGTGCTTTTCATTTGAGGTTTTTATCTCAGCGCTTAATAATTACGAAAGACTTAATACAACGTGACCCTGATAGCACCAGGGCTCCTGGCTGTTGTTGCTGTTACTGGTTCTGACAGATCTACACCTTGCCATGATTTCAGTTTGCAGGGTTTCACACTTTTCAGTCTCCTGGGCTTGATGTTAGTGCCTGTGCCTCTCTTAGGTTTTTGCCAAGTGCAAGCTGAAGGTAAAGGGAAGGTATTTAGAGGAGAAATTGTCGTTTATAAAGGCAGTTCAAGAGGGAAGTGATCTTATCTGTGTCTCCAAGCCTACTCCATTCTGTGATCTGTTATCTACAAACTCTGGGACAGCTCAGAGGAATATATTGCAATATAAAGTACTAAAACTATCAAGACAATAATGAACTTCAATTATCAATAATTAACTTCAATTAAGGACTACCTTACCAATAATTATAAAACCTATTGAACTTACCTCTTCTGTATTTTACATGATAGGTGTCTACTACAGAATACCCAACAAGTAGCTACGCTTCTTTGCTGCTCCTGAGTGTATTTTACAGAGCACTATGGACACACACACATTGTGTGGGCAGTGGCATTTAAACAACCTGGTTTCCTCAGGCCGTTTTCTGCCAGCTTCTCTGCTGTCTAATATCATGGCTGAGCTCTTCACCCTTTCTCTCAGTGGAGGATTAATTCTATTTTGCAATTTTCACAGAAATGTGCTGGAAAACTGGGCATCTTTGGCACTCCTACTTTTCTGATGAAATCTGATAGAAATTGGTCAGGAGGTTCAAAAGTTGTGGAAATACTGAAGAAGATTTAGAGCAGGAGGACCTGGACTGCCTGGACACGGCTTGCCTAGGTTAAAAACCAGTGCGTGCGTTCGCAGCAGGATCACGGCAGTTTTCTGATAGCACAGTCGTGGAAAGGGAAAAAAAAAATGCCACCATGTTATTTTCATAGCTTCGAAGTTGTTTTTACTGCCATTAGCAGCGACAACCTGGGGGAATTGATTACACAGGTGAGCCTCTACCTAATAGCTGTGTTTATCATTTTGCCTGCCATGGTGGGAGAGCCGCGGGTTCCCGAGCAGACAGATTGAAAAGTTGTCTGCTCTACCCTCGCTCTAACGGCTCGGCATCTTCGTGAGCCGCTGTTTCGTAACATATGGCAGCAAGCACCCACACACTCCTCAGAGAGCGCTAACAGAGATCCCTATGCCAATAACAGCAGAGAAACAGGGACGGTATATTTAACTTTCTTCTCTTCTGCCTGCTCCTACGTACATCCTCATGTCCTTTTTGGTGGAAGCACTCTAATTAACATGTCGGAGAACTGCACCGCAGTCTGACTCAAGTCCCCCTCGATGGTACAAGAATGTCTCGCACTTAAAACAGCTTTACAATAATAAAAATACTTCTTTTCGCAGAGGAATGCACATTTCTGTATCACATCTCTCCATCACTCCATCCCCAAAGCTCTTCCAGCACAGGTACCAACAGTACACGCGTGGTGGCCCTCGGTGTTGAAGACGCTGCGAGATCAAGACCTCCATAAGCAGAAAATGGCATAGAAGAACTTTGCATTTTGATCTGTAATAATAACTAAAGAATTAACAGTTTCTGTCTGAAGGGAAAGGCAGCAGGGCTGGCCCAGCCCCTCCAGCCCTGCACTGCACTGATCTATCCAACATAAATAATCCTTTGTCAGTTAAGCTTAGATCTCATTAGAGTACCCACTATAACTGAACACCTAACTCTTGCTGCAGGTTTCTAGGTGTGCCAGTTGTATGAATAAATACCTTTCCACATACACAACTACACACTACACTTAGCATGTGCACTATATAAAATGGCATAAGACAGTAACAGGATCTTCACGAATCATTGGTTCTTTCTAAAGTCCTAACGATCAGATTTTCATTTGAATTTTTCCACTTCTGGAAAAACTCTTGCCAATTCACTCAACGGGTGGTCTTTACCTTTACAATGATAATAAAAGGTTTCTTGGACCTTCACTATTGTTTTTAAATAAAACTATGATTTAAAACGTCAAATATAATACACAAAGGTCATTTAACGAGGATTGTTGTTAGCAAGAAACTTTTTAAAATTAAACAAATCCTTCTGTTTTAAAAAACCCGAATGTTACTTGGGAGTAAATCATTCAACTTAAATATAAATTCACCCTTTAGTACTCGATGCACCATTATTCTCCAACCATGCATAACATATAATGTGTACACATTGCATGCCGTCATCCTTGCTACTGGTACTGACTCACTGAGATGGTCATCTGGTCCCATCTGATTTTTTTCCTTTAGGTCTCTAGATAATGTTCTCCTGCTGGCAGAGGTGAATATAGGACACTAAATAAGTTGGTAATCCATTTAAGAATTAAAGCTACAAACAACTAAACAAACAAACCAAAAACCCAACAGATTTAGTTTGCACTCAGCTCACTGGCTTCTCTTGATACGAGATGCTCTCCTCATCCTCTGGGATTATCTTGAAAATGAAAGGTTACCCCCAGCGAGAGGGAAATGCAAACTAAATAGTGTTATAAATAAAACATCTTCCAGTATGTAGAACAATGCTCTCATGTTCCTGTACACTCAATATATCCATAGGCAGACCCGTATCGTAACACCAAGAGCTCTAATCTGGAAAAAACATTCACATGTGTAGCAGCAGTGCTGTAACACCTCTGCACAACGGTGAAGCTCTCTCCTTACACGTCCAAATGTCACAACCAGCAGAGTGGCCTTCAAACAGCAAGAGGCTAAATAAATAAAGCAGGCAAGCAAGCAGAGAGTTGTCAATACTGATTACCAAAACAAAGAGGCTGTGAGCTGGAGCTCCTCCAGCACAAATCGCAGGCACCTACCTGTGTAAATAAACCTGCCCGGCGCGCCTTTGCAAAACTGTTTGGATTTGTACGATAATGTCACTTCAACCACTCCGGGGATGTGGCGGGGAGGTGTCTGAACTCGGATGGCGTGAGGCGTGATCAGCTGGGAAACAACACGAGGAGAGGCACGGTTACGACATGTCTGTTGTTCCTCCCATTTTCACTTTCCAACCTTCAAACATGCTGTATGAGTAAATGCATTGCTTATTCCTATAGAGGAGATGCTATAGATCACCCAAGTGACACATTGGCTCTGGTTTCTTGCCTTCAGGAGAGGAAGACACTTTTTAGGATAAACTGTCACCAGGAAAATTGTACTGCTTATGCCCAATGGTGAGTTGCTGGCTTATTTCTGGGCCCAGAGGGAATTCTCTTATGAGGATTCCCTTATGAAGAGTGGCTGAGGGAGCTGGGGCTCTTGAGCTTGGAGCAGAGGAGACTGAGGGGTGCCCTCATTCCTGGGGATCAATTTGGAAAGGGCAGTGTCAGGAGGAAGGAGCCAGGCTCTGCTCTGGGATGTCCATGACAGGAAAAGGGGCAATGGGTGCAGCTGAAGCACAGGAGGTTCAAGCTGAATATGAGGAAATGCTTCTTTACTGTAAGGGTTACAGAGCACTGAACAGGCTGCCCAGAGAGGTTGCGGAGTCTCCTTCTCTGCAGACATTCAAAACCAACCTGGACGCGTTCCTGTGTGACCTGGTCTGATGATCCTGCTCTGGCAGGAATTGGACTGGATGATGTTTTGAGGTCCCTTCCAACTCCTAAGATTCTGTGATTCTGTGATTCTCTCTCCTTCCCAAACTCTAACCCTTTATTTCTTTACCTTTACCTGTCTCCAGACACCTAGAGTTGTTCAGTTCAATTCTGAATACCACTGAGCAGTAATAATATCGCACAGCAAGGAGTTCCACAGAGAAAACACGTGAGCTTCCTTCACACAGGTCTGTATGGCCCACCTTGCATAATTTTTGTACCATTCTTGGAATGGGAATTACCACTGTTCCTCCTCCACTTTCCTCAGGAAAGGAGTGTTTCTGCAGTTTAGCAACAGAGAGGCAGCTCTACCCACCTCACTCCATACAAGCATGGTTCCAAACACAACTTGCAGCCCATCGAAGAAGTTGTCTCCAATAATGATCACCATCGCTCCCCCTGTAGTCCAGCCTTCACTTGGGCTGATTGCTTTGATGCACGGCGTGGCTAGACGAAACAAAAAGGACATCAGAGCATCAGGTCAGGGTCATTCTTTTTCCCCATGCAGTCTTGAGACTGTTTGTAATACCTGGTGCAAGCAAATTCTGTGCACATCAAGCAGCTCTAAGTCCTACTGATGCAAACTGTAGGGTCCCCTCCAGCCATGCGCCCATGAAGGCTGCTTCACCATTCCACAAAGCCCAAAAGTAAGTAAGTAAGTAAGTAAGTAAGTAAGTAAGTAAGTAAATAAATAAATAAATAAATAAATGTATGTTTTCTGCCTTGCTAGTGTTAATTACTTGCCTATTCATTACTGGCATTTAACATCATGTCATTAAAGCCTAATAGGCCAACTGGAGTGGGTGTAAAAATGAAACACTTAAATGATTGTGCAGACCCTGCTTAAAAAACGCCTCTCATTAGCCTGTGATAACACGAAAGCTAAAACCTGTGGAAAGAGAGGTAGATTAAGATTTATTAAATCTATCAATGGGTAAAAATGATAGGAGAATATCAAATGTTTCCTCCAATTCTTATCAGGAGACAATTTCTAACAGTTTTCTTGATTTTATAGAGTAGACTTTTTTTTTCTCTCCTCTCTTCCATATGTTCAAGGCCTCTGGACTATACATCCCATCAGGAACCCAATATGGTTTCCAGGCCATAACCAGAGTCAATCCATCACTCCGTTCCCGATGCTGACAGGGTCAGAGGTGGAGGGGAACTTTGGCAGAGCTCCAAAAACATGAGACTCCTTTGAACAGCCAGTCAATCACATCCAATCAGTCAGGGAAAAACTGGATGGCTTCCTAGCCTAGGAATCCTGGGATTTTCCTTCTACCATTTCACTGCCCGCTGGGGGAGAATTAACACCACTCGGAATTCTTTACTGATTCAATCATTTTCTTCCAGTTCATTAATTCTTCTTTTAGGTTGATATAGGGCACAGTTAAGAAGTGGGGCAGCAAAACATTATAACGAAATAATACCCTTGCTTGTCTTTTCTACTAACATCACCGGCTCTTCTCACTTTCACTAGCTGCAGGGGAGGGAAAAGTAGACACAGATAGCATTTTCCAGTGATTCTGAGTACTGTCTGCGTGAGAGAGGTGGAATGTGCTGGTAATTAATGTACGGGGAGAGGAGGGGCCAACCGTTTTGAAGCTTAACAGATACAAGTATTTCTAATTGCTTTAATATAGTCCAAAGCCCATCCTGTAGCCGGCCATGAGCCTAGCTTAGCCAAACAAACTCAAATCAATTAGTGTCACTTGCCTTCTGCACATTGGTATGCTTTGTGCGTAGTTTGTTTAAGGGAACCCGTGACACTTTTCCATACACATCTTGTGCTGCAACACAGTTCTGTTTAACTAAGATGTCATCTTGCCTAATTTGCCTGAAATCAAATCTACCCCAGCTGAACGAGGAGTCTGAAATTTAGACAACACTTTGGGTTTCTGTGTTTTGCGTCTTTGCAGTACAAACTAATTAATAAACTGGTGGGGAGGAGGGAGAGGGAGCCAGTCTCTTAGATATAAAGAGGATCGTATTTTGCATGCAGTAGACACCGTTTTCCTGACTCTTCCTTCTCCAATCCCTCTGAGGTTGTTAATAAAATAATTTAAAAACCAAATTAAATAAAACCAATCGAAATTGCATTCGTTTCGTCCTGTTCCTCATACACACGCCCACCTTCTGAGGGGTCGAGTCTCCTCGCCCTCCGCCCATGCTTGGAGTTGTTGTGGACAAACATGTTGTCAGACACCGCCAGTACGTGCCCATCCACGTTCACTGTTGTTGATAGCACAACCTAGGTATTGAGGAAATAGGGGGAGAAAAGGAGGCAGGTTAACCATTTACTTTGAAATTCAACTTAAGTGCTCATTATTCAGTTCAGTTCAAACTCTCTTTGTAAAATGGCAAGAAGGGAAGGAAATATTTTCAGCATTACGCATTAATTCCATTTAACACGGCATCCTAAGGGCCGTATAAAGTCCTTACTGTATAATGAACCAGCTACTGCAGATGGCCCTAAATTTAGCTCCCTACGATGCGCTGTAGCATAGCTGATGGCAGAGAGGGCTGCACACACCAACCAGGGGGGCAGGCTGCAGAGCACCACCGCAATTTGCCCTCTGCTATGCACAAGCAGATTCAGAGCCATCTGCTGTACTGCGCACACATGCAAATGGACCCGCATCTGCTTCCAAAATCCAGGCCTCCATTGACTGAGCAAAATGGAGAAAACACTGAAAACAGTACCTAATATGTCTGGTTTTTGACATATGTGTGCTTAGCGTCTCTTGAAAATCATCTGAGCCTGAGGACCCCAAACCAAGCAGCAGTTTTTAAACCTCAGCTTCCATGACTGATGTTGCTGGGCTCCAATAGCACATGAATTCTTAGAGGAAGTAACTTTACATGCTAATTAATCCCACTTAGTTTTCCCTTTACAATACAATATCCAAAGCTGTAAATCTTACAAATCCAGAAATATATGTGCCTTTAACCCACAAACTTTTAGGAAAAACAAACAAACAAACAAACAAACTGCGTTTTAGCTGCTGAAAGAAGATGAATCTTAGTCAAACTTTCGGGTTTCAACCATTAGTTGGTGCAAATCAGCTTAACTCCATTAGCTGCCATGCGGCCACAGTAATTCACACCTATGGAGCATCTGACCCGGGATCTGTCCATGAATTTTCACAGATGCAGCTGTCATAGTCTAGGTAAGAGAATGTCAAGCTCCAATTGTTGATAAAACCATACTCAGTATCTGGCAGGAGAAACCTTGCCCTCCTACAGGATTATGTTAGCTTAAAGAATACTTTCTTTCCTGAGACAACTTTAATTCATTCCAAAAGGCTCCTGTCATACTGTGCTCTTACACTGCTCAAGCATTCTTGTCACAAAATGCGTTGCTTTTGTGTGCCAACTGATTTCATCATTGCACATTTGGGTGGAGTGAGACTCCTGTCCAAAGTGAACATTTCCCGCATGACATAGCTGAACCCACTCAGATGCACTTCATTATTTTCCGTTAAACAATGGAAATAAATTTTAAGCTCTCACTGGCCAGCACAGAGCACACTGTGGCAACAGGGGAATAGACCTGAATTATTCCAGTGTCTGAAATATTTACGACAAGTGTTTAAATTGTAACCAAATGTAAATAAAAAGTATATCGTATATATACAGTTACACTATATAATATATACATATCCGACCTCACATCCACAAGGTACCTATGTGATAGACACACACCCACATGCTCTCGGTATGAGATCTTTATGACAGATGGAGACTTCAAGTACACACATTCCCTGAACAACTGTTTGGGTGTAAACGTGCACAATACGAGATCCACATTTCAAGAAGGGTACTGTTTGGGTGTAAACGTGCACAATACGAGAGCCACATTTCAAGAGGGGCTGTGAAGACCATTGTAGCTTGAGTAACAGCAAGAAACAGTCCTCAGCTTAGAAGATAAGTGCTGAGCATCCTCTACTCCCTGAGCCAGCAGGGATGGAAGATGCACTCTTAGACCTCTCTCCATGAGCAGTTTCATTTTTATTTACCTCTCCCATTTATCACAGGAAGGTCAAAGCCACTTGGTATTTCCCAACTGGGACCTCAAGGAAATAAATGCAGTGTTCCCAGGGACAGGACAAAACACAAAGTTCAGATCTGGACCAGAACCTTCTCAAAGTCGTGGACCTTATTTGCAGTGATCTCTAAGGTACTGCTGAAATTCAGCAGAGACCTGGGTCATCCTTGCTACCACAACTCATTATCAGTGGTGTGGAGTGAGAACAAATGAGATTATGGACACAAAAACGACTGAACTTCTTCGCTTTGCTCCAGTCATTCCCTCTTGCCTGCTGAAGATGACAACCCAATTGTTTTATACTGAAGATTAAAAAACAACACTTCATGGATAAAAGGAAGAGGAATGTGCATTCCTCTATGGTCTCTAACTCCCAGGCCCTTCCCTTTCACAAGCCAACTGCTTTCCCCCAGTGAGTATTTCCTGGGTCACCAAGGGTGACCCTTTCCATCTGGAATCAATCAGTCAACTCCTGACAACTTCCTGAAACACCTCACTCCATTTCCTGTTCTCTCCCCCTTCTCTCTTTCCCCCTGGTTTGCTTCACTCTTCAAAACTGCAGGCCACAGCAGCTTAATGTTAGAGGGTCAGACACAGTTAGACTCCAAAACACTACACAAGAACACCTTTGACCTTCAAAAATCTTTACATCTTAGCTAAACAAATCAAGGTCAACGTTTCTTACCATTACCTTGTTAACCATTTATATGCATTTTTGCCAATACCGCTCTGAACGCGTATTTATCAATAACACTTGTTCTCCTAACGTCGTAAAACATTCCAGGCCTTTTCTTTTTAAAACCTCTGTTTAGTGCTGATGAAAGGTGATGTGCAAACTTCCCTGGAGATTTCAAGTCTCAGATTTGTCCACAGCAGTGGCAAATTACTGGCAAATGATCTGGGTGCGTTTTTCTTTTCCTGATCTGATGGCGCTGCTTCTTGGGTATGATAATTTGGCTCCTATGCCCATTCAATTGATGGTCTTTTACCCAAAATCAGTAGTTAATGCAAAATGTAATCCTAAGGGGATGATCTGAGAACATCAAAATACATCAAGCAGGCCATGGACTCTGGTAATTCTAGCTGAGGGCCAAGTCTGACCCAGACAGCATAAAGACTAAAGATTTTGGGCCACTCAACAGCTGGGTTGACCCATCAGTTCCACTGGGACACAACCGATGAAGAAAGAGACGGGGCAATGTGTTATTCCTTCCTCCATCCAAACGTAGGATCCACCTCTAGGAAGAGGAGGGAGTTACGGGCTTCTAAGTGGTGTTTTTGGCAATTCTTAAGACTCTCACTGCAAATCTGCAAGGGCCTTGGTATGAGCTCTGAAGCCACAGACATAAAGCGACGGCTCCCCAGCAGTGCTGAAGAAATGCGTGTGCTGTACCTCCACATTATTTTTGTTTCCCAGGTGGATTGCTGTAATGTTATCCCTCCTCAAAAACCACAATGAGGGTTCACCCACCGTGACATCCAGTCAAACTGTCTTTGGCACGTTAAAATCAGCTTCTCTGAGCTGCACTGCCCCTCCTTCACTTCCCCACACAGTTCAAAGCGTTGTATTTCTTCACAAACCTTTACCTGGGTACTACAATCTTTCCTCCCCCATCTATACATCATTATCAGTATTTCTATATTTTAAAGTATACTCCTCTTCAAACCACATATATGCAAGTAAATGCCTATCATCGTATATATAAAAGCTGTATCACTCACAGACACCTATTTAGACATATGGTACAAACATTCCAGGCATACAGGCATTTACTTGCATGTAACATATCTCATCACTGTGTAAATGATCTCTCTCAAAAAATTCCTGTTACCATTCCAAGTGTGGAAAAAATTCTTTATGACATTGTACATCTGGAAACAATATTACATTCCCGATGCACTTTCCCTTATAACTCTCTAGTCACAGCACCATGTTATTTTAACTTTTGAAAAGAATAACTACGATGAGCATTTTAAAAAATTATCATCATTATTATTATTTTCCAGCTGGGTGGAAGAGAAGATGTCAGGCCTCATCCTGCTGTCTTCACTTGGACAGGGCTCCCATTGATGTCAACAGGCGTTTTGGTCGAGCGAGTAACACAGGAGTAGATGCTCGAATATAATGTGTTTGCTTCATAGTTGGATTAGGAATATGATAAACAAGGAGGAAAATGCCAGCAGCCTCCCTCTGCTCAGAACTTCCACTGAATTCTTTGGGAAATCCTCCCTGAGACCCTGAGCCCGTCTAGGCTAACCAAAAAAACTCTGCAGATGGCCTTCATTTCGGGAATGGGGCCTCTGAAGATTATGGGGGCACAGGGGTAGGAGATAACTCCTGGGTCACTGACATCGAGTCTCCTGCTATTACAGACAACCAAACCATGCAGCTACTTCTATAAAATTCTCTTCAACCATTTCAAGCTTCTGCCTTTGGGACTCCCCCAGCTTTAAAGCCTCCTTGCCCTGGTGATCAGGGAATGTATGGTTTACAGTCTAAATCTATTCCTAGTCAGCTGACATTTAACACAAGCTTTTAAAGGATAATTTCCCATTCTGCTCTACCTTAGGATATTTTCAGACAGCAGTAACGTCCCTTCTCAGTACACGTCACTAAAATATTTGCACCAAAGTCTCATCCACTCCCCATTCACCGTAATGACCCCTTCCTGCACCTGCTCCAATCTCACTTCCACCCTTTTGGAGATGGTTAAACCAGTACATTGTACTCCAGACAAGACATCAGTAGGGTGCAGTGGTTCAAATGCATCCTTCTTTCTTCTGGCAAAGCTTTACCTGAGACACAGCAGACTCTCATCTGGTATGAGACAACACACAACTCATGCAACCCACTGGCACAGGAGCTATTTGGTCTCCAGATCCGAGCACACCAAGCTCCTTGAGTGCTTTTTCTTTTGCATTTGCAGCCTGTCCCTCCCTTACTCATACAGAATCTAAAGTAACGTCACCTTTTGTTGGAACAGTCACTGTCTGATGAAGAAATCTGCCACCCAGTAACCGCTCTGGACTCTGCTGGCAATGGTTGTATTTGTTTCGCAATCCATACCTGGGAAATCAGCCTTCCATACTGATATAGGTCCACGTAGCACCCATCTCTCTAACAACAGTCCCGTGGTTTCTATCCATATCCAAATCTGACCACAGGGGTCTCTGGTGCATCAGCCTGATCAGGATTTTGATTT